CGTCACACTTGGCTGTCAAAGTTGTCAACCAAAAGAATAACCACGGTATTTACCGATAAATAATCATTCCAGGCTGAAAATCGCCTTTGGAAAGTGCCCAATTCAATCCATCTGTCAAAAAGGAAAATTCAATGTGGCGTGGCGGCCAAGCAAGTTTGTTTTGAATATGTTTTTATGCGTATCTTAAATTATTTTGCATACAGTTTTGCTTACAACTTCGATTTTCAATATTTAATGAAATATTTGTTGACTAGGTACCTAATCTAGTAATTCGGGCAGAAAAGATATTTTTTTGTGTTTTTTGGCCCATGTGTGGCCGCCACGCCATCTTGAATGTCACGTGGTTTGAATTGCCCAATGAACTATAACCAAAAACTGGAATGCTAACACATAAGGACGAACGTGAAGCCTAGTGCAGCTGCTGCGGAGGGGATACCTGTTTTTGTCGCACTCATTATGTTAAATGGCGAAAATTGCTTCCAACACGTATTCCAATTGATGAAACCTGTGAAGGGAAATATGACAAAACTTTCGAAAACGTCCTATGTCAGCGAGCAACAGAAAAAAACAACATTCCCCTTTGTGGCATCTGTCCATAGATAAGTGAATATTCTTAAATAGAACATTCACTGGATTCATCCCCTCCACTTTTTGTTTTAGGTCGTGACTACACCGCTGTGCGCCCATATCGCCGTTTCTTAACGTCCCCCTCGTTTTTATTCTAACCTGTGACTTCACCGATGAGTTAGCTATCTTTGTTTAGTGAATAGAAATTGACAATGACCGACATAGAATGGTGGATATAGAAACCAGTCATAAAAACGCAGAGGCCCATTTAACATCATACATAATGCATATGTCATCTTGTCATCTGATTTATTTTGTTGAGAGCATCGTTGTTGAGTGTTGAGTTTGTTGTTTTGAATTGCAAATTTGTGAAAGAAGTGAAAAGTGCATCACAAGCAGCCGGTTTAAGCAGTTATTGCCACAATATGTGACCAGGCGCAAAAAGTTAATCGGCCATAAGCGAATTGCAGCGACAGACCATAGAAAATAGAAATCTACATCAAAAACCACAAAGAAACAGAAATTTTGTTTTTTTTGGAGATAAACACCTAGAAATCGTAATCGTGTCACTGTATGATGCTCCACACGTGCTCAAGGAAATTAGAAATAACTTGATCAAATATGACGGCCATTCAAAAAAATGGACATTTTCAAAAAGCAGATTGGAAGGAAATAGTCTTTCAGTCAGCTCCATGAGTCAGATACGCCAGATCATCTAGATTATAGATTATTTTATTCATTAAGTGATTCTCACATAAATAAATATATGAAAATAAAATTAATAAAATTATTTTAGTTTGAAGTTTCGGAGCACTGCTTTATTTTGAAAAAATTGAAATGGCAAACCAGTCATTTAAAACTGAAATTTAAACGGCCCGCCAAATATTAGTTCAATGACTACACCGCTATGGCAGTACCGTCGGAAATGTCACTGGGCGACTACAACAGAAGTGAGCGTTCTATATCAACAATATAAATCACTTTTCTATGCATCTGTCTTTCATGGCTACATTTTTTTGGCAGATATGGCAATGTATGCGCATTCCAGTTTTTGGCTATAGTTCATTGGAATTGCCTAATACTGCATTGTCTACATATTTTACACGTTGTCTACATAGATTACATAGTTTACATTGTCTACTCGTTGTTTACACCAGACGTAGACAATCTTTGTTTACGCGTAGATGAGATGCCCATCCCTGGTCCGTCGTCCAGTGCAGAGCGTACCCGATAGAGAGCGCACTCCGAGTGTGCCCGGTCACTACTGTAGTGCCCGGCGATTCGCCCAATTTGAACGGCCAAGCAGACGCATTCTCTCCTCATAACAGCGGCGGATTTAGGATTCCTTCTAGGGGGGGGCGATCCATCAGGGCCTCAGGCTCAGATAAGAAATAATAAAAAAACGACTTAAATATACAGAGAGGCAAAAAAGTCGCGTATAATACCTGTAACTTTCTAATTACCTCGTATACGAAAAAGTGACCTTAATGAAAGTTGCTCAGTAAATTAGGGACATAAAGCTTCCGTATTTTTTGCTCGGTATCCGTATCGGTATCGTACTGCGCATGTGCAGAAGCGATACGGAGGCCGAGATACCGTACGTACAACGTAACGTTACGGCCCTCTCGCGGTATCCGTATCGGTAACGTATCTTGACATTCCTGACGCATGTGTCAAATTTCAAATGAATATAACCTCCCTTTTCTTCCGGGTTGATTTAATTTGTTTAGTTTATACTTTCTTGAGTTTCTTGTGTTTAGTGCTTCTCTATCGCAAAAAAAATAACAATTTTAAGGTTAGATATAAAAACGCCGAAGTTTTGAGACAAAAATATCTAGGTTATGAAATGCGTTTACGTTTACCGGAACAGGGAGCGCTTTAACAGCCTTTTCGCTTGTCAACGTATCTAGTTGCGTTACGGATACCGATACCGATGAATTATTTCAAGTAGCTTTATGTGCCTAATATTTCCCACAATTCTACTTAAACGTATTGCCTGTGTCACTTCTGGTTTGTTTGCTATCTAGACCAACTTTCTTTTTTTCAAATAAAACACCCTGTATGTGATTGCATATTTGGATTCTACGTCAAATTCTGAGCAGATTTCATGTGATATACCCTATACCTAAGTTCAACTGTTTTGGAAATATTGACAGTTGAACATTGACTTTTTGCAACTTTGACAGGCTGTAAAACCTGAACGGTTAATTTCAGAGGAAAACCGATTTCACATTCCTATCTTAGATTTTCATAAACTATCATTTGACATCAACATTTAATTTAATCGGAGATTAAATTTAATTGGAATTTTCAATTATAGATTAAATTCAAAGATGGTGCGGATTTACGTCATCCGCAGTCGATTCGCTCCCAGCTCGCTGCTGCCAAACGTATTTAAAAGTATTAAAAATTTGGAAAAATAGCAAAAACCATATGGAATTTCATGTTGGATAATACTTGATGAATATGTTTGTGTTTTCGTTAAAAATTTCGTTGTTGCGTCGCTCAATAGGGGGGGGGGGGGCGCGCGCCCCCCCCCTCTAAATCCGCCACTGCCTCATAAATTTACTATTTATGGGATGCTTTGATTTTGATTTAGTTGTCTTTTCAAATTTCACTGTGTTCGTGATTCTAACATTTTTGCCGTTTTCTTCGTAATTTTTTAAATAAATCTATGAAAGATGCCATAAGTATCTTCCTTCATATTTAAAGAGTTATTGAATGATGAGAATGATGAGGACGCTTCATCTTTGGACGACGAGAATGTCAGTGATTCCTATCTATTTAGCAGCACAAGCTAAACAAAAAAAAGAAAGAGGCCACTTTTTTTAAATAGAGTTGATGAGAATGACGAAGAATTTGGATAAACCCGCCATAATTCGCAACAATTATTTACAATGTTTGCCTGTATTATTGGTTAGAACCCAAACGCGCATGCGGGGCAAATTTTATCTTGCTATTTCATGGGATGCGAAAGTGTGCGTCGGGGTGCCCTCACAAAGTACAGACAATTCATTTTTCTCCGTTAAAAACCTGTGTTTTGCCTCTGCAGAAACGGCATGAAACTAGACTTTCTCGCGATTAGAACGGCCCCACAACTAAGTACAATGCATAACGTATGCATTTTCCAAAAAAATCAACACTTCACTTCACAGACTTTATAAAAGTCAAAAATCGCAACAAAACGGCATTTTTTTAAAATAAAAAGGCATTGGCCTCCATTTTGAATTCCATTTTGACAGGTCTTTGGATTGCCCTATAGATTTGACAAGCTAACCTCGTTGTTAAATATTGATTAAGGCGGCGTTCCGTATCTTAACCAGAGTTACCGATTGGTATGGAGCGGTTCGTCTATGGTGACAGTCTAGTTCCTGAGAATGCGGTTTATGTGTGGAACCGCGTTTCATAAACTAACCAGATTTCGGGAGTGGTTAGGTTACGGAACGGGAACCGGAAAAACCAAGAATCGTGGTTAACTTACGGAACGTCGCCTAAATCAAAGGGAGTGACTACTGCACTGTCTAGACAGTGCCGACTGAAAACTATCTGCACTGACCAGACAGTGCCGACTAAAATCTATCAGCACTGTCTAGACAGTGGCGACTGAAATCTATCTGCACTGTCCAGACAGTGCCGGCTAAAAACCATCTGCACTGCACTGTCCAGATAATTTGATCATATCATGTAAAGTTGCAGTTATATTCAAAATGGCTTGCACTCCTTGCTGGGATTCAGTGTATTAATAATTATTTTTGTTATAAGTTCGCGAAATGAGTGTTTTTTTCAATGGTACCTGAAAGCCTAATTTTCACAGGTCGGGTCGAGGCCAAAAATTCATTCGAAGTTACCCATAAACACAAAATACAAACAACATTTTTCCTACGAGCGTGCCCAAAGTAGTACTTTTCCGCACGCATTTCCGTGCTCAAAGTTCCACTTCCGCACTCTGTAAAAAGTACCTACTACTATGCGCACGCTTGAAGGATAAATGTTGTTTGTATTTTGTATGCGACATTTGTGTTTATGGCCACTCTCGAATGAATTTTTGGCCTCGACGGACCTGTGAAAATTGACACTCTTAGGTACTATTGAAAAAAACATTCATTTTGTGGACTCATTACAAAAATAATTAATAATAAACTAAATCGAAGCAAGGACTGCAAGCCATTCTGAATATAACTATAACTTTATATGATAATAATATGATAATGAAATTATCTAGACAGTGCAGATGGTTTTTAGTTGGCACTGTCTGGACAGTGCAAATAGTTTTCAGTCGACACTGTCTGGACAGTGCAGTAGTCACTGCCTAAATCAAAACCAAAACAACTTTCAAAACAAAGAAAATTTTTATTTCTGCCTAATATCAATATCTAGTAAATTTATGAGTTATTTAAGAATACGTATATCAATATAGTTAGATCTCAATTACCATGCAACCATTATTGTGTCCTTATAGTGATACAAGTGATTCAGAGTCAGAAAACGATGGTAAACAAACAATGCTCAACAAAGGACATGGCACGGATTGAATGGAAACAAAGGCCAGTCGATTTTTTTTAAAATTTTAATATGTTGTAGAGTGAGGGAAAAGAAACAAAAGTTACCATGGGCCCATTGTGCCCCGACCAATAGGAGACGCGCTAAATGAGTTTAAAGAACACTTTAAAAACATAAAAACATATAAGTAAAACATAAAAACACACCATCTACACTTTATTCATACTACTATAAATTCTATTATGTTATGGATAAAGTTTGTTTTTTATTTAAAGATAATTCCCCAAGTCAAAAATTTAGTAACTATGTTGGCAACACAAGCCTTTTCTACTTAAACAATTTGAAAGCATTGACAATTTTACATTGTATTGCCAACATAATGTCATTTTGCCTTTTATCTTTAAAAAAAAACAGATTTTACATCATTTTCGTGAAAAAAAGACAATTGAAAATCGCGAATTTGTCTAGGGATGGCGGCAGGGAAGTGATACCATACCTGTCGATATAATTTTTTGAATAGTATATTACATACCGAGTATGGAAGTGTTTCATTACTGTCGAGAGATTTATATAGTCAATTGAGACGCAAAGCGTCGAGATTGACTATTAATCTCAAGACAGAAATGAAAACTTTCCTCCGAGGTTTGTATACTATTTTTTTTACTACTAACCTGAGAAATTGTCATTATTCAATATATTTTCCTAGGAAAAAATTGAATTTCTCTCCCTAGGTGAATAATGAAAATAATGAAAAAATACCTAGGTTAATAATGAAAATGACGTCATGACGCAAGGATATTGTCATGTTTCTATTGGTTCAATTTCATTTTCATAGGTCAATTTGAAAAAAAATACAGGTTTCTGTAGGTACATAGGAAGTTATCATAAGCTGTTGATAGAGGGCAACACTTTCAAGAGGGTGTTCAAAAAAAAATAATTGGAGCACAGATTTTAAACAAATTTTTCATTTTTTACCAGCAGTAGTAAAAAAAATTCTATATATTCCTCGAGTCGGTAGAGAAAGTCATTATATACCTCACTCATTATAAACCTCGGCGCTAGCGCCTCGGTTTATAAAAGCGCTCGGTATATAAGGACCAACTTCTCTACCTAGGTATATAATATACTATTATTTGCCAAGCACACCATTAATTATGATTAGTCAATCAATTTTTTTAATATTAAAACAATAAAACAAACATGCCAAAATGTGTTTGACGTTTTTACCTGACATGTTTTCATTGTTGCCAGCAAAGGTGAATAAATTAGAGTGAGGGAAATCGGTGAGGGAAGTCGAATAGGGAAATCGGTGAGGGAAATCGAAGACGGAAGTGACACAGGTAAAGTGTCACTTCCAAATTTTTAAAAAGTCAGTAATGACAAGATTACATATATGATTGCAAATAAAGATATTTTCTATCTCTTTAGGGGGCCCTTCCTTCTTCTTGCGAGGGAGGGGAGGCGTTAAAATCTTGGGTATTTTTACCAAACCAACTTTTTAGCTAAAAAGACAACAATATAAAACATGAAAACCTTAGTAATTTGCCATTTTTGGTCATTTCCAAGCTTTCTTTAAACTCATTTAGTGGGTCTCCTATTGGTCGGGGCACAATGGGCCCATGGTAACTTTTGTTTCTTTTCCCTCACTACAACATATTAAAATTTTAAAGAAATCGACTGGCCTTTATTTTCCATATAATCCGTGCCATGTCCTTTATATAGGCATTTGCTATCTTATTAAATAATTTGTTCAATTAAAATTTATTTATTGTCCACAGAAAGTCCCTCAAATGGTGTTTCAATAACCCATAGCTCAACTTCTCCAGTTAAGGCAGACAGTGCAAGACAATCTAGGAAAGCATTAAGTAGTCTAGGTAAGAACTTTAAGATAAAATTATGACAACAGTTAGATATCTAAAATTGATTGGTAGTAGTTAAATTAAACTTCCTTATAATTATAGGAGCAAGAAAAATGAGAGGCCGAGGTAGAAGAACGAACACAATTTCACCTACAACCCCCGAGTCCACAACTAACAGGGTGTTTATATGGGATTTAGATGAAACCATAATAATATTTCATACTTTATTAACTGGCAGTTATGCTACCAAATATCACAAAGTTAGTGTTGGTCTTATAAAATCAACTTAATTTTCAGAATAATATAATTCTTTTTAGGATGCTCGAAATGTTGTTCAACTTGGCTGCAGAATGGAAGAAATGGTTTTTAACTTAGCTGACACTTATTTCTTTTTTAATGATATTGAAGTAGGTATACTTAAACTTATTCAGTTGTAAACTAATAAATTTATTTGATAGAAATGTGATCAAGCCCACATTGATGATGTCTCATCACATGACAATGGGCAAGATTTATCAAACTACAATTTTGCAACGGATGATTTTCATGCAGCTTCCATGGCTAGTAATGGCAATTTATGTTTAGCAGATGATGGAGTCGACAGGATGCGTAAACTAGCCTTTAGATATAGAAAAATTAGAGAAACTTATAATAATTACCGAAATAGTGTGGGTAGTATTTTGGGGTCAAATAAATGTGAGCAATGGTTGCAGCTGAGACAAGAAATTGAAGCTATAACTGATAATTGGTTGACGTTAGCTTATAAGTGCCTGACACTGATAAATTCAAGGAGTAATTGTGTTAATGTGTTAGTTACTACAACGCAGCTGGTTCCTGCTTTGGCAAAAGTATTACTTTTTGGTTTAGGAAATGTGTTTCCTATAGAAAATATTTATTCGGCAACGAAAATTGGGAAAGAGAGTTGCTTTGAACATGTCGTAACTAGATTTGGTAGCAAATGTACTTATGTAGTGATTGGAGATGGGCAAGATGAAGAAACTGCAGCTGAAAGTCTAAGTTTTCCGTTTTGGCGAATAACAAGTCATAGCGAAATAGCTGCGTTGTATGATGCCCTCAATATGGAATTTTTATGATTGATTTGTTTGTGGCAGGTGGTATGTGATTACCTCAATGAATTTTCGAGAATCTTCTTGTAAATACAGTATATTTTTTATAATTTAAATGTTTCGATGTATAATTTTTCTGTATTCAAAAATGTGCCAGAAAAAAACAATTTAATTTTTCATTACTGTGATTTGACTTAACTCGAACACATACCAACGAAATATTAACATGTAAGAAACCTTATATTTTTTAAATGAGACATGATGTAGTTATTATGTTATGTAGCAGCTTTTGCCATTCAATAGTTTCATTATTATCAAAAAGAGACAATGTATTAACTAAAAGACAAATATAAGGATACATTTTTGTATTATAAATGAAAAGAACAAGATTTTTTACATTGTCAATTATAATCATACTTTTTCCTCGACTTTTCCTATTCAGTGCGCAAAATTATGTTTTCCTGCACGAAAGGAGTTAACGAACATAAAGTAACAGCCTATCTTCAAAGTCAACGTTGCGAAATTTCTTTAAAAATAAACAGCTTACATCGATAGAGGATATCGATATTTCAAAAAGTCGATACATCATTGCCTGCCTTTACTTGTTTTGACAGAGATTTTTTGAAGGTTATGGTACTTTTATTTTTCTTCAAAAAAAAAACAAAAAAAAATTAATTCGTACACACCCTAACTCACCATGTCCGAAACAGAAATAGAGTGGCCCTGGCAATACAATTTCCCACCGTTTTTCACTCTCCAGCCTCATGCAGAAACTAGAGCGAAACAAGTACAAGCTTGGAAAAGTTTAATTTTGGACTATTGCAAAAAGTGCAAATTGTACTTGATAGATGTTAGAGAAGCCAGTAATATTCCTTTATTCAATAATTCGGGTATCAATAGGAAACTTGAACAAACCGTCATTGTTTCAATACTGTCCGAACTTCAGAAAACTGGACATGCAGCACCTATTGACAAGGTATTAATGCACTATAAATTGAAATACATCCAAGTAACCCATTGATTTGTAGCCTAAAAATCGTTGGGAAATCTACTGGCACACACTAGAAGAATGGTCCTCGATGATCTACGATTACGTTTCCAATAGGGGCTTGCAAGGTTCTGTACTAACTTTATATGAATTATCGCAAGGGGATGATGTCAAAGATGAAGAGTTTTATGAAATGCAACAAGAAGTATTAATCAAGGTACTGCAAACGCTTGAAAAAGACAGAAAATGTGAATTGATTTTGTCAGATGACGATCAGGGAGTCAAGTTTTTTTAATGATAAACCGAGTGATAAACGAATGCTTTTGCTTTTTTTTTTTTCATATAAAATGAGTATTTTACTATAAGCTTTAAATGTATATGTTTGAGATGCTTTGTTCAAAGAATGTTTGAAAGATATAATGTAAATGATTTTTATAATTTGAAATAAAATATACTAACTACCTATTTATTCCTTATCTTGTTGATAAAATAGGTAATACCATTACGTTAACTTTCTATTTTGTATGTATTGATAGTGTGGTGAGTTAAGTTGTTTCCCAGGGATATCTACATGCATTTAACAAATGACAAATCAAGCCTTGACCAACTCAAGAAATGATTGAAAAGCAGCTGAATATGACAACTCAAACAACAGAAACCAAAATAACTTCTTCAAAGCCAAGATGAAACAGTCTAGATGGAGATATGAATAAGAATTGCTAGCCTGTTCTGATAAGCAGTTTTATTCCTACATAAACATATCTCTTGCTTCAAGACTGAGTTCAAGACTTACACATTTCTTACATAGGAATGTAACCTCTAACTGCACCCATAATAATGAGAAAAAAGTTGCCATTTTGTTTGCCAAACAGTTTCAGAGTATTTTTACAAGAGAAGATTTAAGCTATATGCCCAACTTGGGATCCTGATACAGTCTGTGCTAATGCACTTAAAATTGCAACTTTTACAACTGAGAAATTGAAGACTGCACTCAAATCACTGAAGCCAGATTCTAGTCCAAGAAAGGATCAAATCCCTGCTATTTCTTGAACAAATGTGCTGCAGTTCTGTCACATCTTCTCTCAACCATGATAAAGTCTTGCACAGGACAAACTACCAAGGAAATGGTAGTATGCAATTGTAGTGCCTATTTACAAGAAAGGCAACAAACACCTGCCTGAAAACTGTAGGCCAGTGATGTTAGTGTGTCATGACCAGCGCGCATGACGGCGGGTCATGACGGTCATGACCGTCACGTCATATTCAATGTGACCGTTGGTCATGACCATTTTACTGCTTAGTGTGGAAATGTGCAGTAAAGTAGACTGCATAGTATGCGGTAAAGTAGATTTGGTGTTTAAGTACACTCAAAAATCCCTTCTCAATCAATCAATCAATCAAAATATACTTTATTGTCGGAAAATAAATTTCATTGACAAAGCATGATCTTAAATAATGTGCAAGTAATTAAAAATTATTGGGTTATAAAAAAAAAGAGGTACAATCAATAAAATAAAAAATAAACATAAACATAAATGTCAAAGCATAATCCTAAGCAACACATGTACAATTTTTACTACATCAAATATAGAGTCATATAGAAGGTACAGCCAATACAGAAAAAACATAAAGGTTGCGGTCAGAACAAAACAAAACAATGAAACAAACAAAATTAAAATTTTTCATTTAAAAATTCACTAATATGATAGTAGGCTTTTCCATGTAAAAATGTTTAGAGCTCTAGTCTAAACTTTTTAAAACCACCTATCTGCCTTAAGTTAACAGGCAGATGATTAAAAAGTTGCCTACTTTTATAAATTAGTGAATTTTGCGTCAATGCAGTCTTGGGTATAGGAAGCTGAATTTTAAGAAGTTGCCTAGTTGGATAAGTTCTTGGATATTCTAACTCATCGTAATGTTTTTTGTGCATAAGGCAAGCAGTTTCCATGATAAATATACAGCATACTGTAAGTATTTTATGTTTTAAAAATAGTGGCTTGCAATCATGGGCGCCGGCAGCAGGGTGCAAGGGGGTGCACTTGCACCCCCCTGTCAGAAATGCATTGAAAAATTTATTTATTTTATTATTATTTTTTTAAAAATAATAATTGGCTGTTTGAAAAAATTGGTGAAACGAGAAACGATGGCCCCCCGCACTCTTTGTTCCCTGAGACAGTCTTTGGACTTTGGGTCACTTCGGGCTTACTTTTCGTGCGCCATCAACCTGTAGAATGGCGGGAATTTCGAATTTACTTAATTTATAGTTTGATATAAATTTCTTTAAGTTTTAAATTGCGAGAAGCCCATGCCACTTCCCACGGAGGTGAAAACATCATATAACTTACCCAATCACCTGATTTTTTTTTTACTACTAACCTGAGAAGTAGTCATTATTCAATCTATTTTTCTGGGAAAAAATTGAATTTCTCTCCCTATGTTAATAATGAAAATAATGAATAAAAACCTAGGTCAATAATGAAAATGACGTCATGACGCAAGGATATTGTCATAACGTAACAGGTTTCTATTGGTTTAATGCAATGAACTATAACCAAAAACTGGAATGCGAACACATATTGACGAACGTGAAGCCTAGTGCCGCTGCTGCGGAGGGGATACCTGGTTTTTGTCGCACTCATTATGTTAAATGACGGAAATTGCTTCCTATACACGTATTCCAATTGATGAAACCTGTGAAGGTAAATATGACAAAACTTTCCAAAACGTCATATGTCAGCGAGCAACAGAAAAAAACAACATTCCCCTTTGTGGCATCTGTCTTTCATGGCTACATTTTTTTGGCAGATATGGCAATGTGTGCGCATTCCAGTTTTTGACTATAGTTCATTGGTTTAATGTTTAATTTGAATTTCAAACTGTCAATAAAAAAAAAACAGGTTCCTGCATAATACGACATCATAGGAAATTACCATAAGCTGTTGATATAGGGCAGCACTTCCGACAAGAAAAAATATTTTGAGCACAGATTTCAAAATAATCTTCTATTTTCTACTAGCAGTAGTAAAAAAACTTCTATATATTCCTCGGTAGAGAATGCCATTATATACCTTACGCATTATAAACCTCGGCGCTTCGCGCCTCGGTATATAATGGCCAACTTCTCTACCTAGGTATATAATGTACTATTTTTGGAAGTTCAAAGTAACCGTTTTTGGCACCCAAAAAACTTTTCGCGCATCTGGCAACGCCTGCGTCGGGCATTCACCTTCTTAAATAAGTTATTTGAACCAATAGAACAATCCACGCGCCGCCACTGCCTGTATGCACCTCCCTGGAACTAATCCTGGCGGCGCCCATGCTTGCAATGCTCCCAATATCCAACCTTACACAAATAGCGCACTGCTCTCTTTTGAATGACAAAAACAGAATCAAACAATTTATTAGAACAGTTACCCCAAAATGCAATGCCACATACCTGATATGAGATTCAACCAACGAGAAATAAACCAACTTAGCAGTATTCAAACCCAGTTCATTTGACGCCAGCTCTTTACAAGATTTAGGTCTTCAGAAATAATCTTTTTCAACTCCTCAATATTTTTTCTGTTCCAGGACAGAGTAATGTCATCAGCGAATGATGTTATTTTAGCTCTAATGGGGAGGTGATTAATATCATTTAAATAAAGTAAAAAAAAAATTGGTTCCAACACAAATCCTTGTGGAACACCATTGGTCACAGCCAAGTTTGATGCCTGAGTATCACCAATCTTAACAAATTGTTCTCTTCCCGAGAAATAAGATTCAAACCATGAGTATGAGATTCCTCCGAAGCCATAAATTTCTAGTTTTTTAAGCATTATTTTATGATTTACGCAATCAAAGGCTTCAGAGAAATCACAAAACACAACGGCGACAAGCTCACTTTCATTAAGACTGACGAATACCTGTTCCAAAAGATTAAACATTGCATCATGGGTGCCCTTTAATGGTTGGAATCCAAATTGAGTGTCACTTATTATGTTGTGTTTTGAAAAATATTTTAACATTCTTTCTTTAACTAACTTTTCAACTATTTTTGACAACGTCGAGAGAAGTGATATTGGTCGATAATTACATGGGTTGTCCAATTCGCCACCCTTATAAAGAGGCAACACTATAGCTTTTTTCAGGCAGTCTGGAAATACTCCTGTTAAAAATGAAATATTAATACATTCAGACAAGACATATAATGCATTATCAGGCAAGTTTCTAAGCAAATTTATTGAAACATTATCGTGCCCACTGGATTTATTGTTTTTCCTCTAAAGATTTCGTTAAGTTCCAATACGTTTGTAGTTTCCAGTACAAATGTGTCATTTATTTTAACATCCAATAAATAAGAACCAGGATCCACATTACTTTTCAAGTTTTGTTGTAAAGTATCAGCAACACTACAGTAGAAGTTGTTGAGAATATTGGGATCTAATTTAACATCTGTTTGAAGAACTGAGTTTTTACCAGTTAACTGATTAATTATTTTCCAGTTTTCTTTGCTGGCATTTTTGGAGGAGTTTATTCTATTCTGATAAAACTTTTCCTTAGCTGCTTTTAAAACACTTTTGTAAATTTTTCTATATCTGCAGAAATAACTTATGAACTGAGGACAATCAGTAAATTTGTGAATATTTTGTAACGAACGCATGTTTTTTGATAAAACACTTTTGTAAATTTTTCTATATCTGCAGAAATAACTTATGAACTGAGGACAATCAGTAAATTTGTGAATATTTTGTAACGAACGCATGTTTTTTGATGAAACTTTAATAGCGGGAGTAATCCAAAGTTTACTTTTCTTTTGCTTAATTTTTTGTAATGGAAAAGATTTTAAAAATGCATCAGTTACTAATTTTTGGTATTCGTTTAGTGGTGATTGACAATTCAAAACTGCTGGCCAATTTAATTCCTTATTGCAAATATCTTTAAATTTTTTATAATTGTTGCTTCTAAGTAGTCTACCAACTTTATATTTTGGTGGTTTATTTATCGCAAGTTGAAATTTTGCTAAAACTGCCTCGTGATCCGAAATGCCTACAGGAATTACACTACAGCTAACAAAAATTTGCTTTAAGACAAAATTTGAACACAGATAATCGATTTTGGTTTGAGAATGAACAGTTATTCTAGTAAGTTCGTTAACATACATCTCTAGGTCAAATGATAAAAACAAGTTAGACAGAATTTGCTGTGCCACTGATCTGTCATCATCAAAATTTATATTAAGGTCTCCCCCTAGTATCAAACCTGCCTTGGGTGGCAGTTTTGATAAAAGAATTTCAAGATTTTCAAAGTATTGCT